ACAGGACAAGGAATAATGGATTTAAACTAAGGAAGAATAGACTTAGACTAGACATAAGGAAGAAATTTTTTTTACATGGGTGCCAATGACAACAAAACATTTTCTTCATACTATATTCAAGAAAACTATTTAAATATTGTTTTAGAATGACTTAAACCTATGCCTGGAACTCCCTTGGAGAACTACAGTACCTTTCTTAGAGTTATTCTGGTAATCCCTAAAGCAGTAATACAGAACTGAAGTGTTAGATGTATTTAAATTATGTAAACAATTAAAGTTCAAAGTCTCACCTGCACTTTTGCTCCATTTCATCTTTCAACTGCATTTCATTATGTAGTTGTTCTTCCAACTCATAGATCATCTTCTGCATATTTTCAAGCTTTAAATATATATTTGTACATGAAAGGACATGCATTAAATTCAAAAACCTCAAAAAAGTATTTCAGAGTATTTAGAGCTGCTTATGTTGTATCACAGCTTACTCACTTCTATCTAAACTCTAGATTTTTATCTTATTAAAATGTGATCCCCCCAAAAAAAATTATAAAAAAGTTAATTACAAGAAACAACTTTAATATTATGCAGTTTTATCATCTGAACGCATATAAAATTTTAGGGTTCTGAATGGTTCTGTCAAAATTCACGCGGCTAAGCTAAGTCAAATCCTCCTTGTTTTAAGTATCTTCAGAATCGGACTAAAGATATTACTGCAAAGATATAAGAAAGCATTTTAATTAGTCTCAAAATTTCTTTTTCTAGCATGAACCACACGTATTTTGGAACGCATCTTCAAGCTCTCAACAAGTTCAGGAAACAGAACCAGGCCTGTCAGTTATTAGCAATAGGGGGGAAAATGCTCTTAACATCTATTTAGTCAGAGATAATTTTTACAGCTAGTGCTGTACTAAGGTTTGAAAATAGTAACACACTTCAGATATTAATACAGACCATTACTGTACAGCATGTACTGTTTGCCAGCAAGATAAATTCTGAAATTCATTCTTTCCACGTAGTCTCAAAATATCTACATTTTGCTGCATCTCTGGGCACAAAAGTCCAACTCCAGTATCAGCAAAAATCCTCAATGGACAGGATGGTGTCAACTTTGAGGAAGCTCATTAAGCCAAGCCCATGATGATTCACTCTTTTAAACCTTCTTGCTGATCTTGTCAGGATTTCAGCCTTATTTAGCCTTCCCACATTTCCCTCAACACTCTTGGAACTGCACAGAGAAGAAATACAGTGCTAACTGACTCTCTTCAAAGCAACATTTGGTTCTGACCCCTTGCTTTCTTGTTCCTTGTTCTAACTTCAAAAACTCTGACAATTGCCTGACCCCTTTTGCACAATCATCCCACAAAAAGGAGCAACAGGACAGTTCCTCCTACCTCTGCCTCTTCTTTTTTTCCTTTTCCCACAAAATATGCTTAGAGAAACTAGAAATGCTCACCGAGATCATGAAAAGGAGACACATTACGCTTGCCTCCATTCTTTCTTGATAGCAACAGTAAGTGTTCTCAACAAGGACTGCCCTCTGTACAGTCCTAAACAAAGATCTCAGTTTGGAGACATATTATAGCACGCTTTATCCATATTAAATAAGAAAGTTATAGGTGAGATTATTTTTGCCTACTTCCAGGCAGGCGTTTTTCTTACTTCCTACTTTCAATCTGTTCTCCTTCCCATTGTAGTAGGAACTAAAGCATGGAACACTCAGGTGCTCTCAAGAACTGGAGATCCCTTCTCATTTCCTCCTTTATTTTTCTTCCACATCCTTAAGCTGCTCTGAAGTTTTCAGAGGAAGAACACAGACATGGTGACTGGAGACTAAGCAGAAACTACATATTTTATATATTCACCACTCTATTCTGTATATTTACCACTACCTATCACAAAGCCTTGAGAGAGCAAGGAAATACTGGAAGAAATAGACTTCTCAGCACTTACAGAACAGCTCTGGAAAACCAATTACTGGTGTGACATAACACCATGTGGATGAGACAATGGTTGTAGCCAAAAACCACAGAGATGGCCTCTAAATCTAAACTTTGAGGAAAAGGGAAGGAGGACCAATACACAACACATTTATCTCCTTGGTATGAACTACTGAGAGATCAAGAGGCTAGCTCTCACTTTAGTAAAAAGGGACCACAGCTAATGCACAAAAATAAAGGATGAAGACGTTTCAACATAATTGCTCTTCCATTTCTTGGTTACTCATTTTATAGCCCTTCCAGACAGGCTGCATAAAGGAACTACATGGGATGGATGAGGAACAAGTCCAAAAACACATCTGGCAACTGAGGCATTTCTGTACTGACTCCTACTAGTTTGGACCTCCACTGCCTCCTCTTGCTTCTTTCTGTCTCTGGACACTTTATAGTGCTGTACCCCAAGGGGCCTATCTAAGCTTGCCGAGCAGTTTAATTACATTAGTAAGACAACGGGCTTCCAGAGAAGTTTTGCACAATCTGATATCAATAGACTAAATAATACCTTAAGAAAATCCTGAGTTGCAGTTAACTCAGTATAAAAGCATTCCTTTTTGTTTTAGTTTGTTCTGAGTTTCCATTTTGAGTAGGCGGTGGCAGAGGAAAGGAATATGGAAAAGCCTGCCTACAGCAGAGAAGCCAAGAAAAATCCCTCTGGAACTGCCATACTACTTTTTTCTTTTTAAATCACCACAGCATAGTGTGTCTGGTTCTGCACCCTGAACCATGAAGAAAACCAAAGACCCTGTGCAAAAGAACCTGTTAATCTCCTCTTTCTGAATATCTGAACTGTTTACAGGTGGTTATGGTAGCACTAAACCAAAGTAAATAATCAGATCTTCAAAGAAGTTTGAAATTCAGTAAAGGGACATTGAATTCCATTTTCCTCCAACTTCATGGCCTAATTCTGTGAAGTTTTACACACTTGCAAAACACAATTAATTTCTCGGACATTGCTGGCACTCAGTGCCTCCCAGAAGACACTCAGTACCATGCCAAAATGCAGACAGACCAGGTAATATCTTGTGTTCTATTACCAGAACTAATACATTTGCTAACCATTTGTCAACATTACCATTTTCATTGCAGCATGTAATGAAAGAAAAACAGCTGAGAAACAACGTGGGGCAAAAATACCTTGTAGTAAAGACTTAACATTTATTTAAACCTCTCTGTGTCACTGATATCCTTCCAGAGCTTCACCTCCCAAAACTGTTAAAATCACAATACATTCAAATACACCTGACAATATGGACAGGACTCTTGAGGGATCTCTAACTACATGCAAGTGCCTGTATCCCACTAATTATGCCAAGTCCATTCAGTAACTCTCTTCAAAGTCAACCAAAGGCCAGCACACAGCTTTAAGTATCCGGAAATATTTGAAAGTCTGGCTCTATTTTTAATTTTACCATATCAACAGCCAAATGCTTATGAGCAAAAAAAATTATTGAACACATCAACATACATAAAGAAATCAAGACACTTCAATGCCTAATAAATTCATATAGCCCATTAAAGTACATAATCAGTTCCCCTACCCTTTACAAATTTTCTCTGGGTAATACCATATATCATTAAAGCCTTTATATTGCAAGTTTAAGAGAAAATGGAACATGCATCGATATCTGCTTCTCTTCTACTTGAAATGGAAAACATAACAGAACAAAATACTAACGAAGTAAATCACAGTCAAAGCCAAGCAGATTTCTTTCAGAGTTAATTATCTTTTTTTTTTGACAGTGTTTTCTTCTGGAAAGAATGTAATTTGTGAGATATCAGACCATTCTAAGGCCATAGCTTGATTTACACCAGAACTTACACAGAATCCAAGCCGGCCTTGTTTCCAACACCTCAGTGTACCTTCCTGGAAACTTGACTGCCAAAAAGCTTGGGAGGCAGTGACTGAAAGAATTCCTTAACATTTCTTGCTAGGTGAACTACTCTATAAATGCAGATTCTCAGTGTCCCAATTCCCAATAACTTGTGGGGCACTCTTGGGAAGGAGCAGAATACCCAAGCTTGGTACGTTATCTGCCACTTCCCACTTAGTTAACCAGAAGTCCAGTTAAACTGGCAGGTTGCTGGAAAGCCCAAGCCTCCCATCACACTCATGTCCAGCCTCCATGACTGCCACAAAGCCAGTGTACACCTGGGATGAATAAGGCACTCTAAAAATACTGCACAAACACCTTGATATTCCTGAAGATAAAAACTGTGAATCTAGTTCCACAAAAAAAGTATGCCGTTTCAGCTATTTTATCCCAATTCAGGAAAACTAATGTTATATGAAGAACTGAAATTCCTCTTTTCCAATAACTTTAACAGGCAGACTGTACTAAACAGTTAAAATGTATGTGTTGATTTCCCATATTCCAAGCACTAAAATAATTTGAAACGTTTAGAACTCAAAACAGTTTATTCCCATATATCCAACAGATTCTTTGCTAGGATCCAACAAAGCTGAAAATCAGTGAGACGTACCACACTTTTTTCCACACTGGAGCCTGTTCTGTTATCATTGGAATTTTCTGCAGAGACAGCTAAATACCTGTAACAACATTTTAAAAGTTTTATTTTAAGAGTTGTTTAAAAGCAGGTTATGAAAAATCAGAATACAATCATCCTAAAACATAACCCCCAGATTTTTTGCTCCAAAGTGTGGATAAACAAATACTAACATAATCAGATTTTTTCATTTCTGTATTTATTATACTTTAAGATTTAAGCACATTTAATTGAAAACCTCACAAAATTTAATGTAAAGGGTAAAGCAGAAAACTGCAGTAGAAGACCTCCAGAAAAAAGGATTTCTGCCAAATACTAATACAATCACTTTTCTTTTTTTTAATAACCATTAAAAAAAAAAAATCTTTGCTTTCCATGGTTACAACACACTCACTGGCTTCCATCCCATAAATATTTACTCAGGCGCTTACACAGCAAGTAGCAGCAATGAAGCAAACTCTGCAGAGATTGTGTAACTTCCAACAAAGTTACTAAGAGATACACAAAAAGCTTGCCCTGAAGCCAGGGTTCTTATTTTATGTGTTTTCTAAAAATACCACAGATTTCTATTTGTCATGATTCTGAAAAGTCAGGTAAATAAATACAAATCATTATTTTGAAATTCCTTTGGTATTTGATGTGATATTCTTGGCCTGATAACTGATCTAGAGAGACGTAAAGCATCTCTAAATGAATCAGATTATGCGAGGAAAAACTCTCCAACACACAAACGGAGAAAGATGGACAGATTATCTTTTTTGTTTCACATGCATATTTTCACATATATAAAAACCCCTCCAAAAGATCAAGGAGGGTAAAATCAAAGACATCTCCAAAGCCAAGGTCAAATGAAGCATCAAGACTGGTTTCAGACAAATCAAATGACAAAGAGGAAATGGAACAGTTCCCTACAGAAAGGGGCTTGCTGTCTTGAGTACGAGAAGCCACCATATTTTGCACATCAGGGTTGTTGAGCAGTGAGAATGCAATATTTAAACAGGCACAGCACCAGCTCCATCAGAATCCAGAAGAGAACACACAAGCCAGACAGGGCTGCTAAGTGTTCTCAGCTAGTATGCCAAAATCTGTGTTATAGGTGAAGTTCAATAATAAATAATCGTATTTCCTAGTTTACAATCAATAAGATTACAGCTGCAGAAAGCATTCTACAGTAAAAGCTTGTACTACTTCCTTTAAGGACAGAAGTCACATCGTTTTCCTAGATTTTCGTTTCTTTAAACTCTCCAGCGTACATGAATAAGATGAAATCGAAGGAAGGTGGACATAAATGTATGCAATTTTTTTAATGTTTCAACTATTTTCAATACACAAAGGGAATAAAAATTAGGATTATAGGTTTAGCAAATATGAACGGTTGCTTCAGACTTTTCAAGACTATCACACCAGCAGAGTATTATGGGACAAAACCCAATTCTAGGATAGCATTTTAGTTCTAGTAAGCCTACAAAGTTATGATGGTATTTAGTAGCAGAGTTCTTCAATGACAGCAAAACACAGCCACTTAGTTGTCTAAATTCCTGATACTGTCCCCCAAGAAGAAAGAGGGGGAGAGAAGAAATTTTGTTATTAACAAGCTTCTGTATGCTACTTCACCTTCTTGATAATATATTCCAAAATCTTCCTGCAAGGCAAAAATTAAGACTTTTTAAATTATAGAGTAAAATCAGAACAGTAGGTGAAATTCCTGAATTTCTGAACTCACACAGACTGTATGCAAAGTTTGCAAGTCCTTCTAAGCCTTACTATGCAGAAAGCAACAACAAATCCAGCTCTTTGCAGAGATGGAAAGAATTTCACCACAGGCTTGGAAAAGTGGTGGTTCTTCTATCCAAGGATGAAAACCAGATTTATTTCCTTTAAGGCTTTGCTCTCCAGAAATGCTATTAAAACTAATAGTCTCTATCTGACATGATCTACTAGAAGTTTTAGCCCATTTTAAGCCTGATACCCACTACAATTAAAAGCAGCTTTCAAAGTAAGAAAAAGTTATCGAGATTTTCGAATGTAGATATAGCAATCCATAGTGCCTACAATAATAATGACTGCTGAACGTATGAATTAATATAATTTTAACTGATATAATTTAAAGTCTTCTAAGCAACAGTGAAAACTGTAAGGCATCACAGTCTCACTCTGCAGTGGATGAGTACTTTGGGAAAAAAAAAAAGAAAAATTATGAAGCAGATAACAGGAAAGTAGAAGATTATTTTATTTCTAGTAAGCCAGGGTTTAATTTATCACATGCTAAAACACTGATGTAAAGTACGGAATCTTCATATACAGCTCAGGAACAGTAGTTCACAGTAAAACAAAGCAACATTCATATCCCTGATTCATGACTCTACATATATAATTCAGTGCTCTGCCAGCAGCTCTGCCTAGTAGCAGCAATAGTGGATTTTTCTTGCTTAGCTTTTTCTTGCTTGCTAGCTTAGCAGCACCATTATATAATATTCTTAATGCAGAATAAGACATTCACAAATTCAGTGTGATATTTTAAGGTACTGATGACTAGCAGTACTGGTTATCATTACCGAAGTGTCAAAGAGTACAATTTATTAGGATTCTGAATCATTAATAAGAATCTGAAAAGGCTCGTATCTAAAATCTGGTTGGTAAGAGTCAGAAACAATGTTGACAAAAGAATACCCCATTAGCTTGCTTTCTGCATACATACCGACGGTTGCTGTAGTATGTAAATCCTACAAAAGGAAGTTGGTTGCCCACAAATGCTTTTGGTATGGGAAATGTTTCTTCCTCTCCTTTGTCTTCTTCCAGATCATCAAAATTACTAGTGTCAATGTCACTACTTAAGTCAGGCACAACTGGTGCTACAGCTATGAAAAAAGCAGAATAGTATGATAACAATCATCGTATTACTCAAGTGACACAATCAAGAATTTTGGGGGGAAATTTCTCTTTGGTGTCTAAGAAATCTCTTTCCTTGGTACACAGTAAATAAAACTTTAAATTCCATTAGAAAGAAATATGGCAGTCCTTTTGCTAACATGATACATAAGTAAGCCAGATCACTGTCTCTGAGAAAAGCATTATACTTACTGTCTCTGAGAGTTTCCCAAGCCCACTGATCATTTTTGAAGAAAAGGTGCCGTTTAATTTCTTCTACACCATTTCGTCCTAGCCTCACTTCCCTGTTAAGGAATGTTTTGGTTAAGCATGGAAGATTACATAAATTATTCTGAAGGAAAGACACATTCTAAGGCATAATCTAACAAGAAAGACAAAAAATTTCCTCTCAAACTACGGTAAGAAATAGAAGTATCTCAAAGTTTTCATATGCAGATATCTATAGGAGCACAGCAGCTACATTTCAGAAGACAATCTGGTTTAAGTCTGTTCCATAAGAAGTCCTGCTGCTACTGTTTCCACCATCACAGACTGGGGCTAGGCAGCTGCCAAGCAGCAGCTAGGTTCCACTTTTCCTAGGAGTTCACGCTGCTGTTTGAATCCCATTGCAGCGCAGCGAATGCAGCAGCCCCCCTCCTTCGTAGTACCAGTTCTCAAACAAAGGTTATGCTTATATTAATAAGCAGCATGGGTACAACAGGAGCGTAACTCACAAAGTGAACCAGACCTAACAGCCACATTTCAGACAGGCTTCCTTTGGGCTGACTCCACCCTGATCCTGAATGCCCACTAAGAGCTAGGGGCACTCCTGAAATGCACCTTCTGCTTTAGCTTCATCCAAAAGGAATCTGTTTTGCATGCCCCTCAACACTGTGCAACACAGACCAAGGTAACGGTAGCTGTTACTAAGGAGTAGCTTAATCATATTCAAACTAAAGCACTTCCCTTCCCCCAGTATACATCCTACTACCGTAAAGAGCAGCAGCAACCATTAGTGACTCCTCTCCCAAATGTTTACTTCTGTTGAGCAGTTTAGAAACCCACACAAAACAAATGTACATATATGTTTTTTCAACATGAGAAGAAATTAACTAAATGAAGGCTTACTTTTATTTTGAGTGAAGTTTAAATCTTACCTATCAGTTAGAAAGGCACAAATAAGGTTTTTTGCCTCTTTAGAAATCTCATTGTCATCAGGGAAAGTAAGGGAGTTCTTATGGTTCATAATCTTACTGTATGTTCCAACCAAAGAATCTGCATAAAAAGGTGTGTCACCTGAAAAAATAATGAAACAATTAAAAAACAGATCGAAAGTATTGTCGATTTGATTTATAATATTTGAACTATGCAATACTGCAAGCAACTAAGTGAACAAGAGGCAAGGACAAGCATTTGAGAATGGTGCCAGAATATTTCTAAAACATACTCTGCAAACAGCATGATCAGCAAACCACAGCTTATGTCAGAAGAGTAACAAATTAAACAGTTAAAAACAACAGCGATTTTAACATGGAATCTAGTTAAGTAGTGTAGTCACTTCTGATTATCCTACTACTCACCTACAAGCATCTCATACAAAAAGACTCCAACTGACCACCAGTCGCACTCTCGCCCGTAGTAACCATCACCCCCCTGGGACTTCAATACTTCAGGAGAGATATAGTCTGGTGTTCCCACAGCTGTATCACATCGTACCATACCTTCCTACAAGGAGGAAAACAGCCAGGACCAAATATAAGATCCAAAATTGCAAGCTATTTCCAAGAGTTTATGCAGTCTAAGCAACATCAACAGATCAACATCAACTTTCATCAACAAACGTTTTTTGAATGGCTATTTTAACATTTTTAAATTCTAAGCTGCTAAATCCAGAACAAAGCACCAGATTTGTCAAACAGTGAAAGTTACTTTAAAAACCTCAGTTAATATTCAAGACATAATCAGAATTTCATCTAGGCCCTGTAAACACTGCATAACCTCTCCTGGTCATGCCGGTATAAATGTGTCATATACTGATAGAATGTACCATAAACAGGGAAAGCTCCTCTGTTAGCATAAATGGGTCAACATCAGGGATTTTGTTGACAGGATCAGCTAAAGTACAAGTTTTTCACCTTGGACCCAACATACTTAATGCCAGAAAGACTAAATGCAGACAGGGCCTTGAAACTCTAAGCAGACAGACTTCGAAACAGGTAACAGGCGAGAAGAACGTTTGACGTTCCTCATGCCCCTGAGAAAGGGCTGGCAGAACAGAGATCAGTCACACTGGAGTTGGCATCCAGAATGATGAAGCTGCAACCACGTGCCCCTTCCCAGTGCCATTCAGGCATTTCTGAAATAATCCTGTGCCATTGCTAGAAATGGATCAGTAGAAAAACTTGCATAAAAATATATTACTAAGTAAATACAACAAATACAAATCCAGTGTTGTGTATGCAGCAAATCCAGAATGCACCTAAATTAAGCTCCTATACTGAGCAGTTTCTCCCTCACAGAGTAACCTTTCTCTTTCAAAAGACCAGAGGAACCCAAGACTAGGCTCAAGACTACTCAGCTACCTTTGTTTAGATCAGCGCAAATGTAACGTGTTGTTGACACAAGTTTACTTCTGTAATGCTAATATACAGCAAAGTTTTGTAATATTTTTTCTTTTCTTTTTTGACACTTACAGCTTAAACGCTAGGATAATGTTTTTCTGTATTTCAGAATTCCTCATTGTTAAGAACACAACCAGTCAAGGATAAATCTTTATTAAGTCAAAATAAAGCCAAATTTTGTGTCAGCTGTTCCACTGAAATAGACTATTTGTGACTTGAGGCAACTCCTTGAATTTGTACACATAACCTGCACTTGGTTTTCACTGGTGCCTTTTATTTATGGCAAAGCAACTAAATGCAGTGATTTAGTCAAAACTCTGGGAATATGTTGAGAACACCATGTACATATTACACAGACTCTATTGAAGTACCACGTATGTCAGATTGTTTACCTCATAATATGTGCAGGCTGACACAAACCAATCAGTTTTGTGTAGGGGACAACAGTGCTTCACAGTATGTGAAATACTGTTGTAAAATATTTTTTTAGTGACCTCAGGATACATTTTAAAAAAATAAATAATTCTAGGACATTCTTTAACCTGTTTCATTCAGATTTGCCCTTTTGCTACATCAGCATATGGCTAATAAGTACAACTGGGATTCAGCAATTGGCACATCAGTTTTGATTCTTTCATTACTGACACACTACATAAAAATAATCTCACTTCTTTGCATTAACTTTTGATAACCAAAGACTTAAATAATCTGGAGGACCTAGAGACAATCAAAGGCTTGACTTCAGAACATTTCTCTAGGAAACAGTACAGAAGTTGACACAGTCCCTACTTCAAGAATCATTTCTGCATTCTACATTGTCATTGAATAGGATGCATAAAGAATAATAATGGGAACAGAGTGGAACTTTTGACTCTTCTCATCTAGCCAAAAAGTTTTCAGTATATTTTCTTTCACTTTTAAGTATGTTTTCCTTTCACAAACAGAAAAGTGACATTAAAAACATGTTTACCTTGTTCATCTTCATACAAGTACCAAAATCTGCTAGTTTTAAATGACCAGCTTTATCTAGCAGCATATTATCAGGCTTCACATCTCTGAAAGGAGAAAAATATATTTGTTTAAAAGCAAATAAATCAATTTAACTTAGGCAAACAGTAATGGTTAACTATTTTTCAGACACTAGGTTGCAAGGAAAAACACGAACGTGGGAGGACCACTGTTTCCTCCATTTTTTTCTGCTTTTGCAAAGTATCATGTCCAACACATAGACTGTTAAACTACAATACTTAAAAAAATTATTATGGATGTGGGAATACAGTCTTAAGTCACCAAATTTAACAAATCTGGACATTAATGTTGAACCTCAAGTTCCTAAAAACACTCAGTGGTTGAAATACTGCTCCGCTAGGATCCAGCTACAGAAAAAAATCCGTTCTGGTTCTGAGTTAGCTATGTCAAACAGACCTTGAAAACGTAGCTTTTTCTCTGTACCACTTCTATTTTAAGAGAACAAATGGATGTAATTTTCAGAATAATATTGATGTGAACAAATTATTTTTCCGTGGCTCAAAAGGAGTATTGCCTTATGCCCTTCTCCACAAAGTACTTCCATCACAGAAAAGAAGTTTTCATAAAGTAACTGGTAATCATTATTAAATACACTGAAGCAGAATAATAGTAGGAAACATTATCAAGAAAGCATAATGTGACTTCAGGAGAAAGTGTATTTCTGGGACCTCAAAGGAGAACTCTTGCCATAACTGTGAAATGAAGTGCAGTGAAAATGTATCAGTATAATCACAGAATACTTTTGGTTGGGAGGGATTTTTATAAGACCCCTGGTTCAACTGCCTGATCAAAGTACAGCTAACACAGTTAAGATTCAACTTCAAAGTTATATTAGGTTCCTCAGGGTCAAATCCAGTCAAATTTTGAATTTCTTTCAAGGAGATTCCATAACCTCTCCAGGACTCTCTGCTGCTGTTTAACCACCCTCATAGTGAAAAAATATTTCCTAATGAATAGGTAGATATTCCCTTGCTGCAACTTGTGTCATCCATTGCCTTTCATCTTTTCAGTGTGCAACTTCAAGTCTGGCTCCATCTTTTCCATAAAGTCCTGCTGGGCAGCTGATGACTGATCCTTTCTGTCTCACCTGAACACTGTTCATTTTGTGAATGAAAACATACTACTGACCTCAGTATCAATCTCCTGAGGAGTCGCTGGTAGCTGACTGTTGGCTGGACATCGCATTACTGAACACAACCCGCTGTTCTACCTATTCAAACCACATCTTTCCAATCTGGCTACATCAAAAGCCTTGCTAAATTCAAGACAAACAACACACACTGCTCTCCCCTCATCAGTGGAACCCATCATCTCATCAGAGAAGGCAACTGGGTTGGTAAGGCATGCCTTACCCTTGGTAAATTCATGCAGGCTGTTCCCAATCACCTTCCCATCCATGTGCTTGGAAATGGTTTCCTGAGAATTTACTCCGTAAGATTCCGAAAGACTGCCCTTAGGCTGATCAGCCTGCAGTTACCCTGACTGTCCCCTCCTTGCCCTTCTTGGGACAAGATGGGTGTGCCATTTGCTTCTTTCCAGTCATCAGGAATCTCCCAATTGCCACAACCTTTCAAAGGTGACAGAGCGCAGTCTGTCAGGATACTGGCCAGCTCCCTCACGATCCTTGGTACATCCCACCTGGTGTCTTGGACATGTGTATGTCCACTTTGCACAACTGGGACTCAGCTTGATCGTCCTCTGCCACAGTAATGCTTCACTCTTCCAAGCTCTGCCACTAGGCATAGGGACCTGAGAGACTTGAAAGCAGACCTTATCTATGAAGGCCGAGGCAAAGGTGGCAGCCTCAGACGTTTCCATGTCCTTTGCCACCAGGTCCCTGATCCATTAAGCAGTGGGCCCACATTTTCATCAGTTTCCTTTCATTCCTCAGATTTGAACAGACTCATTCCAGTGGAAAACAAATTCCAAAAAATCCACTTGTGTCAAAATAATCTAAATTTTCAAGAAAAAAAACTTGCTGTGCTGCTGGCAACTTCCAATGCCTGCTTTCTAAAGCTTGCAATACACATGTACTAATGGTTCATCCAGCCAGACAATTTATCCATTAGATGCAGCATAGCTACATAATTAATGATGCTCTAGATCCTACTCAAGCAACGGATTAGTAGTTTGTTTTTCTTTTGCTTTTTTGCAAAAACTTATGCATTAACACTGATCCTCTGGCCAAATTACAAATTGAGAATTTATATATTATGTCTTCCTCAAACTCTTCCTGTATTTTCTGTTGAAAAAAAATATTCTTCCGCTTCTAGTTAATACAACTAAAAGCTAACAACAGATGAAAGTTCAAATATCAAAAAGAAAACTTCTCAACCTATCCAAGAAGTGACTACATTTCACTTTAGGGCAAGTACATAATATGAAACTATGCCAAGTCCCTTTGCTCTGCACCTCAATTTTCCATCTTGCCCCTTACAAGAAAACACATGGCTGGGAGATTTTCCTCACGTTGTTCACAGATTCTTGTTTAATGGGTCACTGATGCCAGCTGAGCCTTCAAATGCACAGCAGAGAATTAATAATTCCTAACAGTGGATACTATGGCTATCAAATTGCCAAAACAGATTTTTCTAATCAAAAGAACGAACCATTTGGGGACCAACATGTTCATACCGTATTAGTTCTTGTATCTCTTGGTAAAGTGGGACAATTTTATTACTCCCCAAACTGAGGAACATCAACCTGCTGAAAACATTTACTTTTACCATATCACCTTAGACTTGTGGTTTCTGAGGGCAAGAACCTTTGAAGCTGTAAGATGGAATAATTATAAAATACTAATAAAGAAGTAACATCATAAATTTTAAAACTGCCTAAACAATTACTGAAGTAATTCTGGCAGCATCAGGAATAAAACAACACTATGTAACAACAATTCTTTTCTTTTTCACCTGTGTATGAAGCCCATTGAGTGAATTGCATCTAATGCAAGTACAACTTCAGCAGTATAAAATCTTGCCCACTTCTCCGGAACATCGTAGTTGCTCATTAAATTCACAAGGTCCCCACCAGGCATGTATTCCATCACCATGTAAAGGTAACGGTCATCTTGGAATGCATAAAATAACTGTAAAAAGCAAATAAACAAAAACCAAGTCACTGAATGTTCCAGTTACCTTTAATCTGCTGTTGTTGGAAATCAAAGGAATTTCTGTGCTAACTGATCTACAGAGTAACAGAATTGCTACAACTTTGCATCATCCAACAGACCACCTAAAAAAGAATTAATCTCTAGAGTAAATTTCAGGCAGATCTTCCATCCCTTTATATTGCAATGGAAGGAGTAGAGTCCTGGTTACAAGTTAAGATTAGTGAATTTGGTGCAATAAATTTTGAGATAATTTCAAAGAATGCTCATTGCATGAGGGCAAAATGCTTCCTTATTCACTGGGATGCTAGTTGATAAATATGTAAACATGAAACTACTATATTGCAAACATCTGCCTGATTCCCTTTGTGTTATCACTAAATATTTATTATTCCATTGTTGATGTATTTATTGTTTAGAAGTGAGCCTAAATTTTAAACAGTTAAGTAAAAATATTTCCCTTACAGTTGTCAATGCTCTGTTCAACATGAGTAGTGCAAGTAGATTTAAATTTCCTAACTTAAAATTTTTTGAAAATCATGGAAGTACTATTCTGGATAATCACCCCCAGACAGAGAGTAATGTAGTTACCTATTTGATCTAGGTAAATCTTGAATGATTTTGCTGAATTCTAACCTAACAGAAGAATTCACATGCTTAAGTGTAAGAACAGTTTAAATTAACAAGTTAACATGTGCACACACAATGCATGATGATTGCTTCAGGCGTGCTCCTTATAAACTTCAAAGGCAGCAATGCCTTCCAAAAAAATTGTCAGTGATAATGCTGAAATGAGGAAGAAATAACCAGAGCAGGCATAATTTGCCATCAAATATACACACAGAAATTAGAATATACAGAAGCTGTGTCTGAAGAATATATTTCTGGTATGCTTAAGTATGCTCTGGATGCTGGAAAGAATTACTACAGAGCAGGCTCACCAATATATATCTGGCAAAGATTTTTAATAATCAACAGAATAGCTTATCTTGTAAATGTTATGACAAAATCCAGTTTTGAAGCAAGTGCAGTATCCGCTATCCTAATGTTAATAAGATATTCCCCTAACAGACCAATACAACCAAAAAGGGACTTTGAAAAGCTAAAAATGAAAACATGTAATTCCAAGTCATGCAGCGTTGTAACGGAACTATTCTATAATGACAGTATTTTAAAAAGAATATCACTATACCTGAACAACCCAGGGACTGTTAGCAAAAGCCATAATATCCCTTTCTTCCCAGAAGAATGCAGAATCTGATCTTTTTATCATCTCAAATTTGCTCAGAAGCTTCATAGCATACACTCTCCTTGAGGATTTATGCCTTACCTATGAAGACAAATGTGACATACAGAACACATTAGTTTGTCACGCTAACATATGAAGAACACTACTGAATATATTACTTTTCCTGCTTCACTGTTTAACAAGTTTTATAAGACTCTTCACATTTTTATAAAGAGTTATTACTGTAGGTCTACAGAATAATTACATTCCATTATCTGACAATATATACATTGCTCTTAAAACGCTTGCTAGAACTATTCAACACAGAAGTCCATAGGCATAACAGTTGCCTTGTAATTTGTAGGTATGTGTCTTTAAAAGGACAAATCTTGGCACCTATTAAATACTATAAAGTTAAAACTATAAGCATTTTCCAGAGTTCATTAGCAGAAATGTATACTTGCTGCCATATTTGCAGTTTCTCCCACCAGTTCTCAATTCAGTAAAGCAGGATGAACAAGCCTGGTTGCTAGTCTATCACAAACAACACACATCATCTCTCAGCTGTGAGAACTATGTTTACAAAAATCTGGTGTAGTCCCCGAACTTGCAGAAATTCTTCTAGTCCTGAAGGTTTGTTCAAGTGTCCATGTATACAGTGGCAAAGGCTAATTTTCTTGATTATGAGGAATACACATTCCATTTTATTTTAATAGAGAAGCATGACTACAATGCAAAACAAGTACTTGTGCACTTTCAGAGTACTGAAATATGAGATTCTTAAAAACATTTCCATGGGATAAAAAGAAATAAAATTTCACTGAGCTAAAGGCTATAATATTATAAGACTGCATCTTCTGAACACTGTATTCAGCAACAGACACATGAGCAAATACTACAGAACACATTCAAATGTATAAATAGAAACATAACTTACCAACTGAACCTCCCCAAATGCCCCTCTACCGATCACCTTCACCACCTCATAATCTTCAGCTTTCATGCGCAGATCTCTCATCTTATTTACTGTGTCTTTATCTACATAAAAGAAAATTCACATTTCATATATAATCAATTTAATTAATCCCATTCATCTAATTTCAGTTTTTCATAGTTATTAGAAGATGTGCTGGTTAAAGAGGGGACTTCCTTTTGAACCTACCTTCCCACTGGAATCCTCTCTGCAGAATTCATGACCTCATTCTCATTACCATAGTAACCAAAACCTGACATAAACATAATGCAATGACTCTACTGTCCAATCAAATTACCAGAGATCTTAATTTGGGAATTTCTTTTAAAATAATTACCTGCAAAAACAAAAGCTATGCAAAAATTTCATATCCAGCACGATCTTGCTTGTAAGCTGGTTAGTATAAAAAGATTATTTCTGAATAAATATACAACACATTTGAGAAAAATATCGTAAAGTACACATACAAGACACTTGAAGAAACTATTTTAAAAAAATAAGCTTTCATTTTTCTGCACTTTTATTATTTCAAATACTCAAAAAAGTAGATTTTAATTTAAAACATGCAGTGGGAATCATTGCAATTACTTATATAAACCTGTCATTCTATAAACTACGATAAGTTACAAACTCCCAGTGGGCAGATATTCTAATTCCAAATTTGGTCAAAGATTAAAACAGTCTATTTTAATCCATGTGGGTCAACACTGGCATGAGATTACATGGAAAAGCTTCATGCTTTAGTATGTCTAAAAGCAAGGAAAATCTACTAAAACAGATACACTTCTAATAAAATAAATCATGCAACAGTATTTTATTTTCAAAAATAATATTCTAGACCTAAAAGCCAAGTTTAGAAAGAAGTAAGGACAGGGGAAGAGAAAGGAAGAGAAATGTCATTTTTTTAAGTCTGTATTTTAAAGAAATGATTAGGCAGACAACAGAAAATTACCATTAGATTTCTACCTACACTGGCCATTATCTAAAACAAAAGCAGTATACGTACAATTAAAATTCAGTAAGATTTTATTACCGCAACAGGAACAAACATAGCTCTGTTTGAATAAATACTCTGTGGGATTACTGTCTAATGTAAAGCCATCCCTTTACAACGTGGCATACCACTAGCTGATTTCAATAAATTATATTAAAATTGTAAATTCTGACAAATTATTTCGCACAAGGATCAAAATATTCAGTAATTTAAAAAAATAATGCATTGCCTTATTTGCCCTGGTGAAAACTGACCTATAGTGGAGGATAGCAAGACTGCATGGAAGTAAAATGCAGCAACTCTCATGACAACAATCTTCTAGTTATTGTTAACTTTCTGCCTAGTTATCTCACAACAGGAAATCTCACAAAAGAAAGCCAGGCACAATATGAATGCTTTAAATGGTTTTCAATCACAAGCCTCGCCTATGGCCAAAACAGAATTAAGGAAAAGACATCTGAAGTGCAATCTAAACTAAAGATTTTTAAATAATGTAAACCGGGCTTGTGAGCAGTTGCAAACAGCAATTTACTGCTAGAGAGACATACTAACACTCAATTATATTCAGACAATATGTTACAGTAACAACAGTGTTGGAAATTTGACCTCCATATGCTAAGATCTGTTAAACAAGGTTTATCAGGCTGCAACATAATTCAATAGGCAGTTCCTTATCTCTCACTACCAGTGGAGGACCCGGCCAGCTTACACTGTATGAACAGGTGGGGTAGCTCCCATAGCAAAAGACCGCATTCACCAACTTGCCCCAAGGTTTGATTATAAGCTTAGATGCTGTCTTGAAATAAACTGAGTCCCTGCTGCAAAGTGGGGCTCTCAACCATCTTGAATATTGATTTCTTTATTCTTTTAATTTCATATGGTAGACAATTAATAAGCTTCTACATTTGCAAAAATAACCCTCATAACCTTAGGCGGTAGAAGCAGGTTTTGGAGGCTCCGCAGACATACAATGTAAACCAGAGAAAAATAAGAGGGGAGGAGGAGGACTGGCTCATAGGGCAATCCCTCTATAAAATAAATGAAGGAAACTCCCATTTTATTTGCAATCTAGAAATTTATTTTAAAGTTCTAGAATAATGGTGCAAACTGTTTGGACAGCTAATACTGCAAAAAACTATTTTAAACAGTTTGCTGTTAGAACTAAAATAAGCATGAAAATGTGCCTATATGTCTTTTTTTTTTTTTTAAAAATAGAAATTAGAGACAAACTAGACTTCAGTTCCCTCTAAGGCTACTACTCACACATCCACAGCTTGCTTTCATATTTCAGCAAACACAGCAAGATTACTGTTCTAAAGGAAGTCTGAAGTGAAATAATATGATCTATTCTCTACCTTCATATTACTTCAGGTCACATCTTACACAGTATATAATTTATACCTACAAGATATTCATTATCAGACCGTAAGTTTTCTTTTCCTTCACTCAGCCCCAATTGCAAAAGTGAAGCTCTTTGAGACTCACTAATGATTTCACTATTCATAAAAATTACATTCAAATTATCTGTTGCAATGAGTATTTCCTTTGCCTAACACAACTTCTCTTTTCTCCAAGAGTTTCACCACACCTTCTCTGTAAATAACTAAGTATACAAAATGTGCATGTAACACAGTGTACGGAATCAAATATAGTTTGAACTGTGAAAAGTTAAACAGAACATTTGAACTTAGGTCTTTCAGCAACCAGCTTACATGCAAGTGAGCCATCAACTAGATCTAGTGGATTCATATATTCCCACAAATGGGGAATAATATAAAATAAAACCCACAAATTCACTATCATTGCTTACAGATGCACCAAATAAACTATTTGGGAACACCTTAGAAACAAAACCATAAATTTCAATGAAGCAAAGGCAAAAATTATTTTAGTCAAATTACTTTATATTTGCCACAAAAGCTATTTATTACAACATTGAATTGAGATCCTTAAGCCTGTAAAAATCTAATAGCATTAGTTTAATTTCAAGGCTTGCCCATTCAGTCCACAGGCAGAAGCAAGCCTCGAATGAGCAAACGTCTTCGCCATGATTCCCAGAATTTGTCAGTTTGGCAGCCTTTAGAAAAAACTTAACTCTTAAATGCCTTTTTGGTTTGTTTGTTTGTTTTAATTATGAAAATTATGGAACTATGACTTCTATCAAAAAAAACAACTTTATTAATTTAAAATGTTATTACAGAGTATAACATGCAGGAAATCTGCTAATGGAAAAATATAGTGTAAATACACAGAAGAATTCTGCAGACACATCAGCTGCATGCAGTAAATACAGTAGCTGTGCAGAATAAGAATTTCATGGGATAATGAAAAGATGTGCAGAATAAGAATTTCATGGGATAATGAAAAGAGGCATTTTATACTAAAACAAAAAAGTCTACAAAACGCATGCTCCAGTCCCTCAGCGAACAAATTTTTAATATGATTTCTTGAGACTGTATATGTGTTATGTCATTTTATTGTTCATTGTTTATGATATATTAGTACACGAAATTACAAAGCAAGTTATGGGAATCCAGAGGGTTGCCAAGAGCAAAGATAACAGGCCTTTCTCTTAAAAGGCTTTGTGCCACTGAAAACAATTCCATTAACAGTGGCAACAAGCTTGGACATTCAATTGCTGGGGATTAGATTTGTATAGGGGAAACAAATAAATAATCAGACTTTTAACACAACTTGCACCCAAAAACTTAATGCACCCCAAATCCCTAGTTACCTTTCAAAGAGCTAGAACTGCTTTTATTTTTTATTTTTGCTGGTATTTAGTCTTTTGTTATTTAGGAACTGAAACATTAAATACTTACACCTGTTTAAGAAGTTATCAATGTTTTTGTTTTTTCTTAAGGCAGGAAAATCCAAGTCATATACCAAAGCATCTAATCCATCCTGGGGGGGCAAAAAAAAAAGAAAAAAAAAACACCAAGCAAAATTAAGTGTTTGGAAAAATAATTACACATGCTGCTAATTGAAGAGACAAGATAAAACAGTTGTCCCTATGAATTTTCCATACAAATGAAATCATTCACATTTATTTAATGATTCAGATAGCAGTTACATGAAATAGCTGTTACACCTCCACTTGCATTGGACTCTTCAAAACTTAATTTCCATCCATCCCCAAAAAAATATACTTCTATGAATTATTAATTACCTTATTAGCTCCACATTTACATGGAAAAATATTTTTTCCAAATATGAAAAGAACAAATAGCGGTTCTAATGAAGTTCAATTATGTTAAAAAGTCACAATGTATCACACAGTAGGCACTCGAACATTTAAGTGGCAACTGACAAATAGGACAATGATGGTAATTTAATTCCAAGAATCAACCCCCACATTTTATTCATTGAATTCAGAGGGAATTTTCATGAACAAGATATTGGCTTTATACATTCTAACTCAAATCTAGGAATGAACAGCCACAAGCCCATCTCGCATTACTACCACGGAATACATACCTATGAACAAAACCAAAACAGAACAAAACCAGAACAAAACCAAAACAAAACAAAAACCGCCAAAAAAACCAACAGAAAAATACAACAACAAAGATGATGATAGTTTTAAGGTCTCGTTAAGTGCCATAAACTACCCAACTTGAAGTTTAAGTCTAAATTTTATAACAGGTATACATGATTCTTCAGTGGATTGCATCTTCTCAGAGAAAAACTAAACCAGATATTTTGGTTGAAAACCACAGACTAATGAAAAATGATCAAGTATTCTAGGGAATTATATCACAAAGAATCAAATAGCATTAGGGAGTCTTCTTTCTCAACTAGGTAATGTTTAAGTGACAACTGCAAAAATAGAGAGGAAGGTCATAAAATACAAATTGATGGATGTTAACAAAGCATGTCGGGAAGTACTGCTATTTACTTGTCTAGTTCATACCTACATGTCTATGCTGTTATTGACCTATTGGGAGTGAGACATTAGACCAGATATATCTTTGATCTGATCAGTTCAGATCTGATTAGACCTAATTTGACTGTTTTCAGCTTTTATAAATTTATGCAATACAGGATTGAAAGCTGATCCATTAGTCTTTGACTGCTACATCCATCAAGTAACTATACCTGAAGAAAAGCTAGAGTATAAGCTTTTTGAAAGCTTATTTTCCAGGAATATATTTGAAGACAGGGGTAAGGAAGTAAAACTACAAGGATAATCAGAATTACTTTAAAGGCTGGATATTATCAAATTTGTTAATTTCATAAAACTATTCCTGTTTTAAGTCACCTCTCCATACAGTGGCTTGAACTAAGAAACATTACAATGAAAATTATAAGAATCAAGAAAAGCACCACAGTATTTTCACAGCACTTAAATAAAGTCAGGTTTTGCATCTTGAGTATATTAAAGGATCACCTTTTTTGGACTTAACAGAGATGATGAAAAAGGAAAGCAAATGGCAATGAAAAAACATAATGGACTACCTACTTAATGGGTCAATAATATAAATAAGAGAGTAAGGGGCCAACAACTTGGACTCGAGACAGAAGTAGAAATAAAAGTTATGCAGGGTAAGTGCAACTCAGTGAGAAATAGTTTGTAACCTACTAAAAGACAGCTTTTCCAAAGATACATAGTAAATATCCAGAAAATCCACTAAAGAATTTCAATTCTTTGGTAAATTCGACAGAGAAACCATGATAACTGCTTGTACAGCAGTACAAAGTGCACTGGTAGCTCTATGCATTGAGCCCCATGCTATGAGAAGCAGTAGGCAAAGAACATCTATGAGGCTGCTAAGTCACGTCCAGAGATTTTTAAAAACAGATGAGTGATGGTGATGAATTGTCAAAGTCTGGGGTCCACTCTGCCCTTAAGCCTTCAAATCTGTTGAGTCCATCAATTTGTCCAGGGTCACAGCTAACACAGAAAACTTTTCCACACATCAAGCAGAAGCGCAACAAAATTCTCAAAATCCTGGTTTGCTCTGGGGCAGTACAATTATCTGCTTCTTTTCAGGATTTGCTTCAAAAGCCAAAATCCAGTCATCGTCTTCAGGGGGGGAAGATTTTAAACACTGAATACAACAATATAGGACAAATGGGAATATTTAAAAATGTTTAATATCAATCTTACTTCTGTATCATATTTTTTCTTTCAAAATATTAAAATATAAGCCTATGCAGAAAAAAGCAAGAAGTACAGAAAGTGTCATGGTTTCACTGGTCTGTCAGGCATGTTGGGTATTTTGTTGTGTTTCTTTTTAAAAGCTCCAAAATAAAGATGAAAAATAGTACACAAATTCACTTTTAACAGGCAAAAGCAAATTTCAATACTGTTTAATTCAGAATTCACCATAAAAACATTGCCTTTCTGATCTTAGATATGAACTCTTTCAAGTAAAACACTTAACAAGAAAAAACTTCAAAATACAGATTCAAGCTACTGATCTCACATTAATTTCAAATCACACTTCAACATCATGTAAACAACATCTAAGGAAGCAGCATGCCAAGAGTGGCTTACTTAAAAGGCTCTTCAATAATCAGCTCCCCTTTGCTACAGCATCCAGAGAAGAAACTACCTGGTTCAAAACTTTCATTAAAAAAAAAGGTAGGGGTGGGGTGGTGTCCCTATAATAATTAAGAGACTTGCAAATCCTTAACTCTCAAAATCATTAATTTCTTCAACTGAAGTATGTTTCTGAAGAAAAACCAGCATGTTATTGTTTTAATGGCAGTTTTAATGGTGGTTTTAATGGTGGTCTTGCAAATACAAGACTAAGCTTAAGGTAATTTTAAAGAATTATGAATGATGTCAGTAAAATATTTGGGATACCTTGTGTATAACATAAAACATGGAATACCCTTTTTATTTCACTTACATTAGCTAAACCAGAAGAACTTGCAAACACTACAAGCTGTCCCAGTACAAAGGGAAACACAGAAGCACGGCTATTTTAAGTAGTATCACTGGTGAACAAACAGGGAGGAGGAGCACACAAGCTCAACAGTGAGAAGGCAATGCCGGTTGAAAGTGGTGCAGGTCACAGAGATGGGAATATACTACAGAGTTTTAGCAATAATGGTGAAAAAGGGTAAAGGCCAGATGAAGGGAGACACAGTCATCATTGATGATTACTACAGAGATATCTCATCTCTCAGCTTTCTAGTTACCATCTTGCTCAATCTTTCAATATGCCATTTGACTTTTTTCCTAATACAGAAAGGAACATCTTTCCTTCAAGACCTACAGTAGCCATACCCTCCCTCTTCTTAAAGGATACTAAAACGCCATTATAATAGGCAGCCACGCATCCAGTAGTTTAATATGCTTTATTAAAATAAGGAGGCCTCATTTTTATGATGGATTTTTTCCCCACTTGGATGGGTTCAATATATTTTTAGTATGTATCTTTTTTAAATACAGCACATCTCAGACTTCTTAGAAGCACGTATTGTAGCTTAGAGGTATTTTCAGCTAATGCTAAGTTCTACCTCATTCTGTCATCGCAGAGCAATTTTCCTGTTTAGCTTTGAGGTCTACACAGACATTTTCCTTTTATGTTAATATTTTAGTAATCTAATTTAACTAAATTGGTTTATAAAAGGAAACTTATGACTTCCACTTACATCTTACATGGTAACAATATTTCAGAGGTGATTAAAAAAAGAACAGGGGAAAAAACTTCCTTTCTAACATCCTTCACTCAAACAGTTTCATGGTCTGATAGAGTGTTTTCTATACAACAGTCATTTAATGAAATCATCAATAGTTTCATAATCTGTTTAAAATACCTCATTTTATCCTGAAATTAAGAAGAGGCATACTGGGGAGCCATTACAATGTGCAGAGTTCTTCCATATGAAACCAATGTTTCCACATATTCTGTTGGTTTCATTTTGTTCACTACTACACCACGCTTACAAGTTTCAAAAGAATAGATATATGGAGTAAAATCAAAGGTCAACCTGGACGCATGTACTGCCTCCGGAGATGATGATAAGGGTGTCTAGGAAAGAGGATATGAAGAAGTCCAGCACGTGGTAGTACTGCTCTGGTATATCTGTGAACCAGAAATGGTACTGTCACAGTTAACAGCTCTAGCCAGAATTTTCTTCAGTGACTTTGTCTAAACATTTTCTGTATCTGTTTTAGTCTCTTGCATTTACAGCATCATACAGATATGAATTCCACCGCCTACAGGCTGTGTGAAGTGTGCCTCATTGTGAGCTTGCCATTCCTCAGTCACAGAAGGGGCAATGACTCTCTACCCACCTGCCCCAAGACACAACTTGACGCACTTCCATCATTTCTCCCTTGGTCATGTCTCTTCCAATGATCCTTGTATGAAAGCTATTCCAATTCCCAACACCACCACCCTCCAGTGCTTTTTTATTTCTACTATATACTTTTTGAATCGGGGGGCAGGGACTGCAAATAGTATTTAAGTTGTGAGCACACCATAAGTACACAATGCAGTACAGTGCCTCCTGTTCTGTTCTTCATTAAAGTTAGTAACTGAAATATCTGGTTAATTTTTATAGTCACTGTGTACTAAATTGACTCTTTCACAAAACTAGGTACTATAAATCAAAGCTAGTTCAACATTGAACAACACAAGTATGTAAAGATGAGAGGTTTTTCTGCCATGCACTCACTCAACATTCATCAATGCTGAATTTCACCTACCACTTTTAATCACCCAGGCACCAATGAGTATTAATTTCTTCTGTGATTTGCTATAGCTTTAGTTTTTACTACTCTGTCATCATTAATTAATCATTATTCACCATTTTAGATCACTTTTGACTGTGAAACAGCACAGACCTGTTAGATTCCATTACTGATCTCTCTGTTTTGAATTAACTGATCACCAGCTCTCACTTCATTCATCCATCCATCCACAAAACAAGCCTAGCCCAAAGCA